ACAGCGGCTCGGTGGCAGGGGGGTGTACTCATAGTCTTGCATGCCGTGGTCGTTAGACCATTGACCTCGCATCCCTACAAAGCCGGGACGGAGCACGCCGGGTTCTCACCGGACCAGGCTCTCACATCACCAAGCGCGAAGCGCCGTGAGATATTCGGCGAGTCGCATGAAGGGTGCGCTGCACCCTGCTAAGAGTGTTCGGCATCTTGTGCTTACTTCCTTGCGTACGGATGACAGCTGCGTATGACTTAATTTATTTTCTGGTGCTTTCACTTCCAGAGACAGTTGTAATCACTGTGTAACTGCCTCGAGGGTGCTTGACCATTTTAACAAAACGTGTTGCGATCATCCCCCTTGCGCGGGGTGAGGCTTCTCCACCCCGCATAACATGATCTACTCGACCACCATTAGATTATGGTTACCGCCAAAAAGAAACAGAGGTAAAAAAAACAACGGTAACCTGGTTGCCGAGTTCACGAAGTGAATTGGCTTGTTTTACGACGTCGGTGGCAGGAGCGGATTGTTTACAATTTCCCTGTTGTTGGTGTGATAGTCTCTAGGACTACTACCGCACGGGGCGGAGAGATGGCACCCCCCGAAACGAAACCCAAAGCTTGATGATTGATTGCTCCACGACCTACGGTGCCAAAACACCAACAAAATTTACGGTGCTTTTATGCAGCATACAAGCATTTGAAGAGGGCTTTCCGTAGAATCATCAGGGTCTAGACTAATTGCTGCTGAAATCAACCTTTGAAAGTCGGTGTACATGTAGGAGGGGTGCTACCTCTCCGCCTCTTTTACGGCTGGTTACGCAAAGATATCGGCGCAAACTCTGAGAGGTAGACTACTACTAGTACTTGTATCATGTACGTATGCATGGTCCGACGAGGGCATTTCATCCATTTGGGTGACCCGGCACTTGGTTGGGTACTACAGTTTTATTAAGGAAAAATAAATATATACACGTCTTTGCTTTATTCTGTTTTATTTTGTCTTTTGTTTTGTTTTTTACTGGCACGTACCCCCGCCCCTTCCTTTGGCCGTCGACCTGCCTCCATGTAGTGGGAGGCTACCCCCCCAGGCTGGTGGTGCGGCCGTTCCACTAGTCTAATTATTTATTTTATTTTATTTTATTTGTTTCTGATTATATTTTGTTTTCTTGTATTTTATCGCTCTGCTGACCCTTGGGGTCCATTTTATTTTGGTATACCTTTTCTAGGTACGTTAGCCTGTGACCACGGAAATTGGCCGAGTCAAGTGATGGATTAGTACGGAGAGATTGAGACAGAAGGAGGTACTGGATAGAGAGACCGGGATGGTTTTTAATGTGAAGACAACAACAACATACACACACAGAAGAAAGACCACCCATTCGAGATATACCCGCCGTCGAACGGGATGTGGTGGAATTTTTTTTTTAATTTTGTCGGGGTAGGGGAGGTTGGTTGGTTGTGTTCAGAATTCATGTCGAAAACAAAGTTAAAACGCCCAGTCTCCAGGCGCATAACAAATAAATCTTCTTCTTCTGTGGATCGTTTTTTCGTCTTTTTTTCAGTCTTCGCCCTTTGTCACCGAACAATAACTGGAAATGTTGACGTTTGTACACAATCTCCTGCGTGCGATACCTATCCGTGCGATTTTTGAAAAGAATGTGTTCAGGAGGAAGGACCCGATTCGCAGGGTATCCGTCGATTGGCTTTTATTTACCTGAATCGGTACACCTTCGCAAGTAAATGCGGCAAACCATCCCTGTCCAAAAATTCCGCCGTTGTTTGGGTTCCTTTCCGATTTCCATAGATAAAACCGAAATTCCGCGAGAAATTTCCAAATGTGGACACTCTACTACTACATGTTTGCTGTGTGCACACCCGAGATTTTTCTCTAGTCGCGACAATTTTTACCCCGAAAATAACTTGAAATTAGTGCTGTGCAATTCCATTTTGGTTACCGTCGTCACTGTTGTTATTATCATGGCTGTAACTCTATTCCCTCTTGTTCGACATGCTCCATTCCGAAATTTATGAAGTAAAACGTAAGAACTGGGCAAATTATCCCGGATGGAGATGGCGGATCTATTCATGGACGACAAGATGTGCTCTCCTGCTGCAGCATTGATGCGAGCGTGTCAAAACTCGTATTAAAGTACTTTGTATGACGTGGAGACATGTCCTTTTTTTTTTCTCCGATCATTGGACTCTGTCGTCTGCCCCTCTGGCCCCTATCCTCCACTTCTAATAGCTAGACGACCCAACCGGGGTCACATAGGAGGGGGGGGCTGGACCCCCTCCTGCGGTTCCTGCCTGAGGTATTTTTATCGCGAGAAGGGTACAGCAATCCCTTCCCTCGCGACTTACGAAGTTGAGTATAGTTTACTAACAACGAGCTTTGCAGCGCGTCGCTTTCATCCTAGACCAGGATTTATTTAGCGAGAAAAAAACTCACTCTGCCGGGACTCGTATGTGGAGGCATTTCGTGCATTCAACTGCTGTGTAAGTAAGAGCACTGGTTGCAGTTCGTGGGTGAACTTGGCACCTAGGTCCTCTCGGAACGGCGGGGGTCCTGCCAAGTTCCCCATTGGCATTCTCTGATTCTACTACACTAAGGAGTGGCTACGCGGGCGTCCTGTACTGTGGAGGTGGCCTGTTGGTGGTTTGGCCCCTGGGTGACGTCAAGGTGACGTGCGGGATCTCACAGTCCCGTCGATCCTCCCCTTCAAATGCAAAGATGCTTTTTACAAGTAACCCTTTGTCAGTCGGGGCGGCCGGCGCGTGTGCCACTGGACCGGCCAACTTTGCTGTGCACAGCAGTTTTATCGGTGCTTTGCAATCGCAGGCCGGCGTGTCTCTCAACCATCCTCGACTGCTTTCAAGCTTCGATCATCGAGACGAGGAAGATTATGGTGGACGTTGACCCTGAGTCCTCTGAGACAGCGCTGCTCCCCGGCGGATTTCAAGGGCGTCCCAACAGAGATGATGATGCTGCGGCGGCTGTGCACAGGAAGCTTACCGCCTGCATCTTGCTGTACACAATCGGCGCAAGCATGATGACGCAAGTCTACCCGAAGGTGCGCATAAGACGTTGCAGTACCTGCCCTACCTCAGAACGGCTGCAACGTGTGTACAACGGTGGTGGGTCGCCGGTGCAGGCTGCGGGTTTTGTGCAGTTGGTCAAGTTTTGAAAGGCGGCAACTCTTCGGCGTCGGTACTTTGCTACACTGCTGAAAAAACATGTTTGGAGCAAGTGGGGTGATTTTGTTTTCTTGAGGAATGAATCGCACAGACGGTGCACACATTCGGTGTCGGGTACCACCACTGAAATGTGCCGACAGCAGTACTAACCTGTTGTAGCATACGCCGATGGATGCACACTCCTGTGCTGCTGCTGGACGAGGTGCTGCTGTTGCAACATAGTTGCGTTCTCCCTGCAAATAGCAAGGAGAGCTGTTGAGACGCCCTTATTGGTTAGTACCTGTGCATATTAATAGCGCTTTGAGCCCGATGCCCCACCTGTACCGGTGAGTACACGACGCGCGGTGGGTGGAATATCTCTTGCAGGGGTAAGGGTTAGGGGTTAGGGTGCGACAGAAAACGGTGAGGGCTACACTACTGTAACTCGAGGAGCCCGGTGGCGGCATTCTTGGCTTGCGCCGCCAGAAAATGGTACATACTCGATGGTTCGTCATGACCAATCAGCGTTGGGCCTCGAGGTCAATTCCTGGTGTAACGTTTTGTGTCATCCAACACCCCCGGCATACCGTCTCCTGTCGTTTGCTCAAACAAAGGTATCGCTGGGCGTGTACAGCGCAATGTGTGCACGGAGCCAACACTTCATTGGTAGTATGCATAGACTTACTACGGACAGAAATTCGGTGTTGTTGCCAAATTTCTTGACATGAAAGAAAAAGAGCGAACGACGCCTGCTGATTTGGATGTTGGCGACAGCCATCCCTGGGTGCAAGTGCAAAGCTGCCTTCCCACCTGGGTCGCCTTTTATTCATAGCCCCATGTATCGAGGGTTCATTTGATAGGGCTTAATATAGACAACAGGCGGGGGAGCGTGGTAAAACGGGGCACGAAAATGAGGTTTTCAAGATATTCCTTTAGAGGGAAAGCGAGCCTTTCTAACACAAGCCCTACACAGGTTGCCCGGTGCCTCCTTTCATCGGTGGGCTAGGTACTTCTTCCGCGCTTGCCCCTTAAGAGTAGCGCTTTCCACCAAGGGTAGATAAATGCGGCGCAACTTTGCTGTTGAACCCACGGCGTAATCGCCCCGCGATTCGACCTATTCATTACCCGATACTCCTTCGCTCTACAAAGCACCTATACTAGACTAGAGTTGTCCCCGTCTTCCCCGGCACCCTCCTTGTCGAATACTTTAAAGGAGGAGGTAACCATGCCATTCTTCGTGAGGTCAGGCAGGTGAAGTAGATGGGGACAAGAAATGTCCCTAAAAGCCGATCTAGCCCTTGAGGGGATTTTGCCAACAGCAAGAGCGCCTGTCCCCTCGTTGTCTCATGGTACTTCTTCATCGTTCTTTCACGCTCACCCCGCTGAATTGACGTGCAGATCATCCTGCTTTCGTCTGGAGGAGACGACGGGGAAGCATCCAAGTACAGAGGGGTAAGTGGTCATGTTGCTGCGGTCAGACGCACCGACTGGTGTTTGCATGTTGGACGCCATGTGGACGTGTTGTTTGATTGCGTTGGCCGGGTAAGATGGTGCCATAGATGTTTTGTATCATCGCACGATACGAAGCACACGCTGTGCTGCCCCGCGCAAGGTGCTGAAGATATCAGGGCGTGGACGACAAAATCACGTCGTTGACTTTCGGGTGTAGTGGATTCTGGTTTACTGACATTTTCTAGGTTTACCTCGTTGCAGCGTGGTGGGAGTATCCGCACCTCACACTGTTTTTGTAGGACTGCGTCCTATCTTCAGCAGGTTCGGGGGCTTACAAACATCACGAAGGCTTTAAAATAGTGGGTTGCGTTTCGCCCTTTTGGTCGCGTGGACTGAGCCAACGACTTCCTTTGTCCTCGCCTTGCTCCGTGACGTTCCGCCTTTACGTCCCGTCTCTCTCTTCCCCCCCCGGAAAAAACAAAAAACGACACAAAACAATAAACGCGAAATAACATACGCGATGTATAAACGGCACACTAAATAGTGGTTGGCCGCTGGGGTAAGCGTCATCCAGCTCCTTTTCGTCCCCGCCATCAGCGGATCGAGCGACGTGGTGGGCCGGAAGGTGGTGGTTTGCTTCGCGCAGGTGCTGCACGCCAGCTCGGTCCTCGCGCTCGCGGCGATGGCGGACTCGTTGGTGTGGGCAACCGTGTGCAGGCTGGCGACGAGCGTGTGCATCGTGATCCTGCCGGTCAGTCAGGCCATCATGATCGACCTCTCCCCGTGAGTGCTGCTCACGAAGAAGCAAAGACCAACATTCTTGATGTTGTCAGTTTTTTTTTTTTCTTTTGCGCTTGCTTCTTGTGCAGGCGTTCTTGGTGTGTGCCATAACCACCAACGTGGTGTTATTGTTGTGTTTCGTCCGCCGCGTCCCCTGTCTTTGTCGTCGTTTCCGTCGCACGCCTTTTTTATCCCTCTCTCGTTTATTTTTTTTTGTAGAAGCAGTCTAGAAAAGCAGGCTCATTTCGTGTTCCTCACGATACATGCAGCCGAGATTCGTCTTTGCTCGTGCGGCGTTGCTCACACGCCTCTCGCCTAAAATTCCCACGGCAGCATGTCATATCCCACCATACCAACCGATAATAATGGCCAATTTCCTCCTCCTCGCCCCCCCTGCTGCTGCCAACTAACCCTCGTCCTGCTGCTCCTGCTGCTAAACCTCCTCTACAGCGACAGAGGCAAGGGCGCCACCCACGGCTTGGGCATCGCCTTCGGCGCCTGCGCCCTAGGATTCAGCGCCGGCGACATCATCGGCGGCTCTCTCGCCGAGCACCACCGCGGCGCGGCGTGCCTCGTGAGTGCAGCCTTCGCCACGGCCTCTCTCCTGTCCCTGATGCTCTTCGGGTGGAGAGAGACGGCGCCGCCCCTGGTCGGGGAGGGGTGGCAACGGTGGCTGTGGTGGCGGATGGAGGAGCAGGAGAGGGTTGACGATGCCGTGGTCGGGATAAATGAAGACGATGTGGGCGCTAATGGGGGAAACGGCGGAAGGGACATTGTTGCTGTGGTGCAGGGCGGTGATGCCGTTGGCGCCTCCACGGCGAGTGTTGACAGTTTCGTCTGGGATGACGATAGGAGAAAAGGGGCGGGGTGCAGGGGGAGGGCGAGGCGGTCAGGAAGAGAGCAGCTGAACCCACTTTCCGTCCTCAAAGTGTTCTTGGAAACCAGGTGCGTCGTGCTCCGTGCGTGCGTCATCCCACCGCCCTGCCTTTGCGTCCGTAGCCTCTTGTTGTGGTGACCGTGCTACACGGCGATGGCGTCATTTTTTTTATTGCCAACACACAACGGCAACACTCGGCAACGTTAGCAAGATGAAACCTTTGTGTGAGCGGGGAGCAGTGTAAACCTCGTTCCCTCACCCCACCTTCTCTTGACCGTCCAACGTTCGCATACGTGGTCAACAATCGTCTCCACGTGGCACAATATTGTTTTCGGTGTCACCTTTCGTGTAGAAACGTATCCACCCTCGACAGACGGACATTGAGGAAACGTGGGCCTCTGTAAGAGATGACCTTCACAAACAAATTTTGTTTGGACCGCGTGCATTCGCTTCCTCATTTGTCAGCCATCCGGTCGGTTGAAACGGCGTGCTTCATGTCGCCCTCTGCCCGCCCGCGTTGGTGACGTCCCAACTCTCTCTCTCTCTCTCTCTCTCTCTCTCTCTCTCTCTCACACTCTCTACCTTTCCCTCTCTCTCTCTCTCTCTCTCCCTCTC